TCTCTCTCTCTCTCTCTCTCTCTCTCTCTCTCTCTCTCTCTCTCTCTCTCTCTCTCTCTCTCTCGTTTTAACAATCACACACGTATACACGCAAACACCTACAAACACGTACATACGCATACAAGTACCTGTGCTCACGACCGATCTCACTTTTGAATACGCATGCACAGTACACCTTTACTCATTCTTATGTGCATGGTACACTCACGTGGTTTTACATTTCTGATAAATATGCGCACAAATACACGCGTCAATACCCAGTTTCTTACACATGGGCACACAAAAAGATACTCGTGTACTCGAAGAGGAAATAAAAGACTCATACAATGCGTGACATAAAACTTACAGTCGTCACACCGGTGTCTTTGGTTTAGCGGTTAAGCACTGCGCTGTTGCACGCAGGAGACCCGAGTTCGATTCCTGAGTGGGGAAAAGTTTTTATTGAGTATCACTGCGGGGATGCTGTATCCCTCTCAGCTTGGGTTGACGGAGACGTAGGCAGGGTAAGAAGCCCACTCTTAGAAGGTCGCCACACTCACTTTTGCGCCTTCTTTATCACGCCGATGTTTGCCAAGACATTTACAAATTATAACTATCACAAGTGCTCAAATTAACTTTTACCCTTTTTTTATAAGCTTTTAATTCCGTCTCAGTTAGATTTCGAGATTTCGAAATTAAGATGATCTCCTTTGGGTTTTCGTTCCGTGAAACATTTTTAGATTAGCTTTTGATTCCGTCCGACTTCGAAATGAAAATTATCTCCGTTATGTTTAGAAGATGTAGCATCATACCCAACAGACACATCTTCCACGAGTGAAAGACAGTATTTTCCTGCTCATGGCAGTTACAAATTAAGGGACTTACTCCTCAGAACCATTTTGTAAAAATATTTGTTCTGTAAAAACACATAACGATGTCCTTCATGGTCTAATTCCTGTCTGCGGCAAAGTTGACAAAGTGAATAAACCAAAAAGTTAACTTTTACCCATTTTTTAAATAAGTTTTTAATTCCGTCTCAGTTAGATTTCGAGATTTCAAAATTAAGATTATCTCTTTTTTTTTTTTCGTGAAATATTATTAGATAAGCTTTTGATTCAGTCCAATTTCGAAATGAAAATTATTTCCTTTATTTTTTCATGAAATGATATGTTTCAAAGATGTAGCATCATTTCCAACAGACACATCTTCCACGGGCGAAGGACAGTATTTTCCTGTTCATGGCAGTTACAAATTAACGGACTTTCTGCTCAGAACCATTTTGTAAAAAAATATTTGGTCTGTAAAAAACACATAACGATGTCCTTCATGGTCTAATTCCTGTCTACGGCAAAGTTGACAAAGTGAATAAACGAAAAATTAACATAAAGTTTTGTTTTTTCCCTACTATCCTTTTTTCCCCAAATGTACTCGTAGCAAATGGCCTTCACATTAACAAACAAAAAAAGATGGCACCTTTTTGGTGTGATTCTTCATCGTCAATTCACAAAATCAACAGTAGCCGCTTTGCATCCCCTGGAGAAACCTCTCTGCAATTTGCAATTCTTTCCCCATAATCCGATTTGCGGGGAAACGGGTGGAATGTCTCACGAGTCGGAATCCCTGCGCACTTTCTGTTTCCGTCTAGTCTTATTATGCGCCTCCACCTCATTGCCACATCCGTCCCCCTAGATCTTCTCTCTCTCTCTCTCTCTCTCTCTCTCTC